CGAGGTCCCTGGTTCGAGTCCTCATAGGCTTTGTGTAGTTTAAAAAATATATATATTAGGAAAGTTGTTTTTTAGGAAGTTTTAAAAAGGTTACATTGTCTTTAAGGGGAGTTTTTTTTAGGAAGTTTTTAGGGAAGTATAAACAAAAATTCCGTGTATTCAAAAATATGTTTCTAGCGAAGTCTTTTTTTAGGAAGTTCAAAGAAGGTGCCCGTGCTTTTTGGGAGGTTTTTTCTAAGAAGTTTTTCAGGGAAGTTCAAAAAAATGTTACCGTGTCCTAAAAAATATGCTTTTGAGGGAAGTTTTTTCAGGGAAGTTTAAAAATATGTTTTATTGTCATTTCTTTCAAAAAATGTTTCCTTGCATTCAATAAGTTCTGAAAATATGTATTTTTTTTAAAATGCATATAACGTAGTTGAAAATTGTCTTAAGTTTATTAAAAAATATGTTCTTTAGGGAAGTTTTTTTGAGAAACTAATTTAAGGAAGTTTAAAAATATGTTTATTGTCATCAAGAAGTGTACAACATGTATTTCAAAAAATGTTACCGTGTTTTCAAAAAAGTGCTAAAACATGGATTTTTAAAATATATACATAATGTATTTAAAAATGTCCAAATTCTATCTAAAAATATTACAGGTGTGCGCTAAGAATGTAGAGAAAAAGTAGACATGTGTGAAAAAAACCAATTAAAACCAGCAAAGGAAAAAAGAAAAGAAAAATACAAAGAAAATCAAGAAAGAAAGAAAAAACAAAAAATATAAAAAAGAAAGAAAAAACAAAAACCATTGAAAACATAAAGTATAACGAATGAAAAAAGAAAACCAAATAAAGTTGATGAAAATCAAAGAAAAGGTAAAGGTAAAAAGGAGAAAATAAAAAAAAAACAGAGGAGAGCGAGCGAACCTACAGCTATGCATGAGCGGCGCGAGCGACTGCACTAATGGGCTGGCCCGACTCAGCGAATACAAGCTAAACACTCTCAAGGTTCAAAATAGACTAGGATTGATAAGTTCAGAGTGTCAATTTTCCGGATTCAAAGTTCTGGGTTTGATTTAGTTTTCTTATACAAGTTTAAGGTTTGTTTTAGAATTTTTCCTGCTGGATGCAGTCTGCGTGCTAGGCAGGAGCAGTGCGATGAAGATGGCACCCCGGCTGTGTGTTCACGCTCGAGTGCGGGCATATTTTTTTCCAGCGAACGTGTGACTCATTCTCAGCAGGTGCAAGTGAGCTGGGCTTGAGCTATGAAATTGGATTGGACAGGGAAGTGCGAGATAATCTAGTCCTGGAGAATTGGGAGCCTGTTATGAGAGCACGTTCGTCTCTTGGCTTCGTCGAGAGCGTGAGCTGTAGCGGGGATTGATCAGTACCACATCGCCCAGCGAGGGCAAAGGAGAACGTGGAGGATGCTACAAACGAGGGGGCCGTGGCTACCCTCTCGATCAGATCCTTCTCTGCCATTTGGCTTAGTATAATAAGCACAAATATGTCAAGATGTGTTAGTCACTTGTTTGTCATTAAGCTTTTGAATATCTTTGCAAGAAATGTCAAAAGGTATATTTCAGACGGCAGATGGTTGAAGTTCCTAAATACAGTCTTTTTATATTCCAATATAGACTACGATAGTTTATTTTGTATGTACTCCCTCTGTTCTTAAATATTGTCATTTTGGAGATTCCAATAGCTTTAGTTTTGATGCATTTTTTGGCATTAGGTGAACCCTAGTTCATCTATTAGTTTGAAATTTTCTTGTAACTAAATATATTTAGAATGGATATGTTGGATGTGTGGATGAATGGATGATGTGTGGATGTGTTGTGTTGCTTCACAAACCCCTTTGTTATGGATGAATGCATAGATAATGTTGAATTTGAATATTTTTGTTGTCGAATGTTGCAATTAGTTGTTGCATATTCCAATGTTGATGAATGAAAGTTGTCGAATGCAATGCATGCAAATATATCGAAGTAGGATTATATATTTTGTCTTTTTTCATATTGTAATTAGTTGATGAATGACTGTTGTTGATTGTTGTTGAATGCAATGCAATGCATATATACCGAAGTTGGGTTAGACATTTTCTTCAATGAGGAGTATATCATTTAGAGTAGATATAGAATGACTGTTGATGAATGGATGTATGTGTATTGATAGTTGTAGTAGATATTTTCTTCAATTTGGAGTATTTTTTTTTAGTTTGTTGTCAAAAATTCAATTTGAATTGCCAATTATTTTAGGAGGACCCTTGATCTGAACACCGACAGTTGGTACACTATTGACCCTGCCTTTGACAGGGTCATCGTGCATGTTTTACGAGAATGGGGTGGTAATAAGCGATGCTCATGATCAAATTATTGCAAATATTTGTTTGCTTTGCAAAAGAAAGTTACTGACTATTTTGAACCAACTTTTGGCAGATGGTACCACCGGTGCATATGAGGGCTCACACAAAGGCCTGCGAGATGGCATACGATGTGCGGTCTGAGACGTACTCCAAGAAAGTCGTGTTGCTGAAGCTTGTGCTTCAATTTAAGCATGCGCCGCCGATGATCAACCATTCAACTCTCATTGCCCTGATGGATCGTTGGCGGCCGAAGACACAGAATTTCCATCTCCCTTTGTGCCGAGATGATGGTGTCCCTCGATGACTTTGCCATGATCACAGCCCTACCGCTCCAGGGAGACTCACTCACTGGGCGAGTAGAGAAGAGCAATTGGCGGTAGAGGGTTATCAACCTCATCGGTGATTGCCCCCCTCTATCTATAATGAGGCCGAGGGCGTGACAGACAACTGGACATTTGGTATCCCATTCCAATGGTTGGCTGCCAATCGGTCTGGATGCCCGCAAAATGTCGATGCCAACCGGTCTGGATGCCCGCAAAATGTCAACGAACAATCATTGCATGGGGCTCCGCTCATTCTAGCTCCGTTGTGGCAAGGTTGCAGAGATCCCGTGACGTCGTCGTAGCTCGGGTAAATACGACCGCAGCTCAATGCATCATCAGTTGCAGCTCAGCGCACCGTAGGTTCCAACATACCTGTAACGCCCCGACCAAATCTATCGATTCACTCACCGATTCTGGGTCGTTGCCATTGTGTCTAAGATCTAGTCTGGCACCACTACTAACACTAGTCTTTACTGTGTATGCCTCTCAAAAAATAGTCAACCTTATTGATATAAGTAGTCCATCATTCCTATTAAAAACCGATGTTCGTATCGCCCAATAGGACGTTCCCTCTTGGAACACGATTTGTGCGCTAGTGGCAACATCCACATGTGCCCTATGTATGTATCACTGACATGCATATGTCCGCGTAACCGTGAGGGTCGGCTCTGATACCGATTGTAACACCCTGATCAAACACATCGGTTCCTAGCCGTCGCACCTGAGATCCGGACTAGCCTCACATACCAACACTAATTTTTACTGCATGATCTCACTCCTGCGCACATGAGATCAACTTCCTAATTGGTCACCCATCCTCAAATTACTCCCAGCCAAACACGCTTAACTTTGAGGTATCTTTCGGATGGCCTGTCGAAAAAGAAGGTGCACCTTGTTGATAAGTAGTCTATCATTTTATTAAGTCGCGATGTCACAATACCCGACTGTCATTCCAACATCCCCATCTTCCCATCACAACATTGCAGGCGCGGTGTTCCATCTTCGCCACTAGTAGACTGCAACTCCCGCCGTGTCGGTTACAGATCACAGTGTGTTGTTTCTCAGTATCCCGCCGTATCGGTTGAAACTCGCCATGGTGCCACACGGTCCTTGCGATGCGTGTTGAGGGTTGCACCTTCAAAGATCTGCTCGACTGGTTGGTGGTGTCCAATTGTTGTGGGGCGGCTTGGCGGGACACCGGATTAGGTAAGGGCACAAGCTTGAAGGTGCAATGATAAAGGTCGCTAGGAAGGTGGTTTTGGATAGATCCATGTATTTGTTTTATCTGACTCTGTTGAATGATATAATAAAGATGATTGCATGCATCACTTGATGTAGGGGACAAAAATAATCCTCCTTTTTGAAAAAAGGTAAAAAAATATTACGCTGCTGGATAATCCTAGCTTGATTAACAAGAAACAACGAATGTGGAAAAACTATGGTTGTGGGTGTTACGATGGACTACTTGAGATTTAGACATACCGAAAGGGTAAGAAATAAATAGAAGAAAATAAAAAAATATTATCAAGTGTTTTTCTCAGACACTCGACAAAGATGCATCATTACCAAATGCTTTTCTTTTTCCGAGTGTAACACTAGGCAAACCTCGAGGCTATCTAGTGTCATTTTTTGCCAACTGTATTTTCAAAAGCACTCGACAATGACTATGTTTGCGGAATACCCGTGGGAAGACATGCGGCACATGGCAAAGAAGCATTTTCCCGTAATATGCAGCATTTGCAATACGCATCTTGCATTTTCCATCTTCCCCTCTCTTTCTCGCAATCTAGGTTCCTAAAAGAACATCGTAGAAACATATAATGCGAAAAATAAATAGTGCTCATGTTCACGTTGAGGTCTGTCTTTGTACATTCGGTGAAGTTTTATAATAGATCTGTTCCTTTTTCAAAAAGAAAATTATAGTCAACCAATCATAATTCTAGGTACTAGCTAGTCATCAATATAAATGCAGTCTAATTTGGCATTGTATAATTTCAGGGTCAAAACTGGTACTATATCAATAGCCAATTAATTATACATAATCAACCAATCCTATTTGCAGGTACTCACTTTTTTTTGAGTAATGCAGGTGCTCAGCTAAGCTAGTCATCCTTATCCAACTAACCAATTAATCGAAATGTAATTTGGCATATTATAATCCCAGGGCCAATACTGGTACCATATTTAATGGATGGAAAATACTGTATTTTTTTTGGCGAAGGAGTAAAGACTGCCTGATTATTAATCTGAGCGACGCGCTTGGCTTCACTTACCTTGCCATACAAACTTGAGAGGTTTTGTGTGTTTAGAGAGGATTTGCAGTCATCAAATATCATGGCTAGGACAGTGGCGGTGTTGGTGTGGGTGCTGGTCATAGTGGTGGTGGTGGCGGGTGCGATGGCGATAGAGCCACAGTGCCCCCCGAAAAAGCTTTTACCTTGCAATCCAGCGGTCAAGAAAGTTAAGGAGCCCTCGGCGTTGTGTTGCTCGAACCTCCGGGCGCAAGAAGGATGCCTCTGCCTATACTTGCACGATCCGAGGTACCAGCGCTACTTCGGGGGCGCCGATGCCGGCAAGACAATCACCTCCTGTGGCATCCCCCTTCCATATTGTTTATCAACTACAAATATATAGTGAACAATATGTGTTAATGTGCCTCTCTTTTGGAATAAATGGGAATTGTTACTCGAGAACATGCCCCTAGTTTGCTTTCTTAGTGTGTTGTCTTTTAATATATTTTTAAAGACAAAATTATATGTGAATCTAATCTACAAGGGATTTATCTTCTATATTGTTCATCTATTTTGTGGTTTGCGGGCACCCTTTGCCTTTGTGTTGAGAAGGTTTTGGTATAGATTTGTGTTTTAGCCACTTATGTGTTGAGTGCCACTGCTTTTAGGTACGTGACCATGGGCACCATCACTTCACGCAACAAAAATCACCCCGGGTCCTCAAAGAAAACAATTATGCATTTGGAGTTTCTTCTGGAAACATCTGATGATGCTTTATTCATCTCTGTCCTTGCTATTTTGCCCGTCTTGCTCACTAGTACTAACTATACTGTATGAGCCCACCTCCTCCCTCGACAGTGATGTGTCGAACTCCCTGTATCACCTGGACGGTGAAGCTCAAAGCCTCGCCTTGACAATGGCCCATCGAGCTTGCTTCCTCGCCAACGGTAAAGCCGTGCCGGTTTCACTTGTTTTTTTTTATAAAGAACATTTCATTCAATTGATATATCAAGGTAATACAACTGCATTGAAAGAATACCTGACCTCTGCATAGCGCGATGCACACAACCAACAAGTCCAACAAGTCTAAAAATTATATATCGTTTTACAACAAAAGTAAATCAGTCAAGCCTAGGTGGAGAAAATCCTATCATGAGATTACACCGCCATCCATTTTGGGAGAAAATATCCCTGGCCGTATGCTCCAGCGGTGTAGACGTCATCATAAAAAGGTCTTTGTCCCTCAGCCTTTGCAGGATAGGCCACGTATGGAGCCATCGTGTACACGCATGAATAACCTGCACAGGAGATGAAACACATTTATTGTTAAAAACCACATCATTCCTGGTAAACCACAATGCCCAACATAAGGCAGCCGCCCCCACGAGTAGATGTGCAGAAAAAAATTATCGATGCCCCGCAACCAATTGCCAAACATATTACATGCATTATGTGGGGATATATATATAGATTTGAAGCTAGTTGAAATATGGCCCAGACTGCACGAGTAAACTTACACTCAAAAAATAAGTGTTTAATGGACTCATCATGTTGACAAAAGACACATGTCTTAGAAGGATCAATGCTGTCCTCCTCCCCCAACCAGGAAAGCCGCGCCCCCACATGTTTGGCGTACCGTTGGCTAAACTATACGCGGCACTCCATTCACGTTAACAAGAAGAGCTAAGCCACTGGGAAAGTATCTGGTGATACCACCCTTTAAATGCTATCATGATCCCAACTTTTAAAAATTAAATTTAAACATTTCAAAAAATTCCAATTTTTTTTGTGAGGGCTCGCAAGGCATGTGTTTACAACCTCTAAAAAAATAAACTTAAATTTGAAATACACATGGAGATTTTTTTCGAAATTCTGCATGAATAGTGTCACCGAAGTACAAAAGAAAAAAATGACACTATTCACACCCTAATTTGTATTTTTTTCTCAATGATTATTTCGGATTTGGGTCTGAATATTTTAAGGCTCTAGACATAGGTCCTTTTTTTTGCAGGGTGATGTAGGGCATGTGAGCATTTACAATTTTTTGAACTATTTAAAATATCTTTTTTGCAGGGTGATGTAGGCCCTGGCCCATAATATGGTAGTTTTAAGCAACACTTAATTCCTCAGACAGCAAAAACTGAACGGAATTGGTTGTAATAATCTCGTAACATAATTCCCTTCTAATCATGTATCACTTCAGCACACATGTACACAGGTAACACAAATTCCAATTGCAACATGCAAGTGCATTTCATTACAAAATAGCTGCATCACAACCTCAACGAACCATTAACAATGATGGAAAATCTAAATATTTATACATCAGATATTGAGCACGTCCCTCCAGTACACTAGCAGAAGAACATATCATCGATGCAATACTATTAGTCCTACACTCGCATAAGTCTTTACTGCCACCAAGAAACCTGAAACAAAAGACATGAATTGATCAAGCAGTAGATCAATGGAAACATCAGATACTTATTAGCAAGCAAAAAATTACAAATTTTCTCTAAACTAAGTCAATAGGAATGTACCTCAATCATGTCTTTTTGCACTTTCTTAGGACAAGTATAGATATTGTTCTTGTCCATGTTTTTCCCTTTTCTTGCTTTACTTCTCACCTTTAGTCTTTATTTAACAACTGCACACAAAGAAATACGCATAGAACCACCACCATCATGGTTTACAATATTGTCAAATTAGCATGATAGGGTATTCTAGAAAAAAATTAGCATGATAGGAGCTCCTTGTTACTGTCTTACTATAACACTTCTTTTGGCAGAAAGCCTTACTATAACACTTAATTAGGACGAAATCTGGACAATGGCTTTAGGGGAAATTAGCCAAGATGCTAGTACCTCGTTCCCTTCCCCTACTTCCTTCAAATAATGTGTTGATCGTGGAGACAACCCACAATCCACGATCTTGTACGTCCTTTCCTCTGTTTTCCTTGCAAATCTAGCCCAGCCTAGAGGCGAGGGAACTAATAGATGAGCCACCGGAAGATGCACAGGGTCAAAGCATAGAAGATCCAGTCCGGCGTCTAGCTATGGAGAACGCTCAGTGGAGGATTGGAACAACCGCCGGACAGGAGACAACCGCTGGACAGGAATCAACCGAGATGCTTTTGTACTACCCAAATGATAACGCCCACACGTGTAGCACGAAGCAATATGACCCAAATGCCTTCATTATCATTCGTTTTACCACGTCAAAACAGATGACATCGACAGGAATCTTTTTGGTTCCGGCTTAAAAATGTTTTATCTTCAAATTAAAAATCCAATTAAAAATTCATTTTCACCATTAAATCCGTCTCGAGGAGATCTTCAAAACTAGATTACGTGTTGATATGTTTGGACGAATTTTTTTTGGCCAAAAGTTGCCACGATGTTTACACTGTAGTTGCCATAGTGTTTACACTAGAGTTGCCATGTGGCAATTTTAGTTTATAGATGGCATTTTTAGTATGTTGACCATGGCAATTCCAGTACTTTGACCATGGAAATTATTTTTTGTATGAACCATGGCAAAGTTCATGTATCATGGCAATTTTAGTTTATGGTTCGTGGCAAGTCTAGTTTCCTAATTTCCCATTTTATAATATGTTAAAATTACTTTTGAAGGTAGAAGAAAAATAGCTGAAACATATCATGGCAACTTCAGTGTAAACACCATGGCAATTCATGTGCAACAGACATGGCAATTTTAACCCCCAAAAAAAGTCGTCGAAACGTATTGATATGAGATCTAGTTTCGAAGATCTCATCACGATGGATTTAATGATGAAAACGGATTTTCAATCGGATTTTTCATTTAAGAGATAAAATATTTTAAAAATTGAAAATCTAAAAAAATAACCACATGCATGCATGCGGTGACGTGGCATAATCTATGTATTATAAGGCGCGTGGGCTGGTGTTGCTCCCATCACATATGTGGGCGTTATCAGCGTCCTTGTATCAAGGTACAGGACGAGTGCGGGGTTGTATTTGCAATTTGTACATCTTTCCATCTTATATTGTACACTTACTATCCAATGGCCCAAGATCCAATTTTCATTAAATATATATGGTTTCAATCAGATATGTACTCGGATCCACCCACGTTAGTGCATGGTGAATAGTACAGTCAACTGTTGGCTATATGATGTTGCCATATTATCTATAACCAAGATTATAGTCGGCAAGTATAATAGTTAGATATAAATATGTATTAGTATATTGATACATGAACCACCTCACTCTCTCGCAAAGTCTCTAGAAACATGTGTCGCAAATGTCTGTCAAAAGCAAGTACAAAAGCAGCCTTATAGCCCGCTTACATGGTAATTTTGCCTATATGGAGGAGAGAGATATGAAAGCTAAGCGGAGTGGGCTATATGCGTGCTTATAGGTAAACAAAATAAGTAGTTAGAAAGAGATAGAGAGAAGGTAGAAAATAGTGCTAGTCTTATAGCCAATGCTAGCCCATAAACAGAACACCGCAAATGTCTCTATTTATGTCTGGATGTGGTCCGCAGACATGATCTAGGAGTGGGTCATCCAATGCTTATTCACAAATTAATACTTATTGGTCTGGTTGGGAGGCGAGAGAGGTGTGACACCCCTGACTCAATGGTGCACTAATCATACATGCAAACATGCACGATCAAGAATGAAAGCGTCACAAAAGGAGAGGAGATTGTGGGTTGCTTTCGGTGGATATTATGGTGTAAAGTCCAGGGAAAGAGTGAGAATATCATATAGAACCTATAGTCATCACTTAGAGTCAATCATACAACAATTGTTTGTACTATTATCCATGGTCTAATTCATGTTGTGTGTTTCTCTTCTAACTCAAAAAATATAGAATCTCTCCTATCTAAAAATACAATAATGTTTCCCTTTCTGTACCAAATCACTAATTAAGCGGTACCTCTTGCAAAGGTCACTCCACCTTCTCAGGTTGCGAGAAAGTGGCATGATGCATATATGTCACATGTCACAACTGAAGGAAATATGCCCTAGAAGCAATAATAAATTGTTATTTATATTTCTTTATACCATGATAAATATTTATTATTCATGCTAGAATTGTATTAACTGGAAACTTAGTACATGTGTGAATACATAGACAAAACAAAGTGTCCCTAGTATGCCTCTACTTAATTAGCTCGTTAATCAAAGATGGTTATGTTTTCTGACCATAGACATGTGTTTTCATTTGATGAACAACATCACATTATTAGAGAATGATGTTATGGACAAGACCCATCCGTTAGCTTAGCATAATGATCATTAAGTTCTATCGCTATTGCTTTCTTCATGACTTATACTATACATGTTCCTCTGACTATGAGATTATGCAACTCCCGAATACCGGAGGAACACCTTGTGTACTATCATACGTTACAAC